GTTGCAGTAAAGGCCACTGACCTGGGTGAAGGAATCAACAAAGAAGTGAAATATTCATTGAGAAAAATGACAGTGATCATTTCTCAAACATTTCATATGGATTCAACCACAGGAGAAATAGCTCTTATAAGAAGCCTGGACTACAAGAAGTTCATACAGTGTGAAATTCAGGTCCAAACTCAAGATGGCAGTGATCTAACTGACACATCAAACGTTTTCATCATTGTTACTGACTTGAATGACCACATTCCCAAATTAGCAACAGACTCTCATATTGCGTCACTGCCTGAAGACTCCAAAGGGAACAGAAGACTCTCCAAAGGGAACCCTGGAGCCCTTTTCAATGTGAAAAATGAACATTCAGGAAGCTATGGAGAAACCACATGTACTAGCCATCCCCTTTTCAAATCAAGGGAATCCTACAATCAGCTTGATGCTGGACATAGATAATTAGATAAACATATGGAGCATAGATAATTAGATAAACATATGGAATTAGATAAGCATATGGAGCAGAGGTCCATCAGTGGCTATTAGCCACAAGGTATAGATAGGGGCTCTGGGGCAAGTGATGCTCTGTCATCTTGGTGCTTGGGGGGGGGGGTCAATAGTGGGAGGGCTTCTAATGTCCTGGCCCCACTGGTAGACCTCCTGATGGCCCCTGGTATTTCTGGCCACTGTGGGATACAGAGTGTTGGACTGGATGGGCCTTTGGCCTGATCCAACATTGGCATCTCTTATGTTCTTATGTTCTTATATGGAGCAGAGCTCCATCAGTGGCTATTAGCCACAAGGTATAGATAGGGACTCTCGGTCTGGGGCAAGTGATGCTCTGTATTCTTAGTGCTTGGGGGGGGCAACAGTGGGAGGCCTTCTAGTGTCTTGGCCCCACTGATGGACCTCCTGATGGTCCCTGGTCTTTTTGGCCACTGTGTGACACAGAGTGTTGGAACTGGATGGGCCATTGGCCTGATCCAGCATTGGCTTCTCTTATGTTCTTATAGAGATTGATCTGTGGTGCCTACAACATCATCATCACAGCCACAGACCATGAAAATCTTCCCCTCTCAACATCGACTATAAAGTCTACCAAAATCTTCTATGTAAATGAAAACCCTTGCCTCTTCAGCAGGTGCAGAACTTCTCAGTTGTATTATTCTGGGAATGTGAATGTCGTGGCGTTTCTGCCTTCTGAACAGCCTTAAAAGCACAGGTTAGCCTAAGGTTGTCAGAACTTGGATGCTAAGGAGGGTGGGCCACAGTCAGTACCTGAATGGGAGTTCACCAAGGAAAATGGGTTGCTGCACAGAGGAAGGCGATGGCAAACCCACCTCTGCTCCTTTCTTGCCCTGAACACCCCATGGTTGGGGTTGCCATAAGTAGGTTGCAACTTGACAGCACATTCGCCGCCTCCTCCTCCTCTTCTGCCTCATGATTTATGGGGATCAATGGAGTCTAAGCATTTCTTCACTTTTACTGTCAATAAATTTATCTCACTGCAAACACTAGAAAGAGAAATTTCATCTTTCGAAGAGGAAACTCTTCTATTGTCTAGTCAGCAGCCATGTGAGAGAAAGTATTTCATACTGATTGGTGAAGATTTCAATATTAAAGATTGGAAGCAAGCTTCTGTTCAGGTGAGTTGATCGCTGCAACATTACTAGTAAATGCCAATGAGGCAATTGTCTGCCTTACTTTTTGAGACAAAGTAGCTCTTTGACACTTATTCAATGGTGTTTGGAGAAGTCTTTGCGTAATTTATCGCGAGAGCCATAAAATACACAGAGTTGGAATTAGCTTTCTGTTCTCAGATTTATGGTATGCACAGCTTTAAGGCTATGGGTTAACTTTTTGAAAGCATTATTTTAGTAGTAAGTTTCATGTCCTTTTTCAAGCCCATACATGAATGATTTACTGATTCTGGACGAATGCTGTTTGTATACCTTTTCAAGCTCTGCTGTCCAAAGTCCTTTTTAACTAGAGCTGTTAGGGACCAAACGGAGGACCTTCTGCCTGCCAACCATGAGCTCTACTGATCTGTGGCCCCTTCCAACATAGTGAAGCAGGCTTCTGTGCACATATCCCTAGTGGGTTAAGGGACCCTATGGCCAAATGGGTGCTACACACTGTATCCCTTCCCGGTACAGCTCTGCTTTATGCCAGTTGGGAAAAGGAAGCAAGATTTGGTCCCTACATCCTGCTGTTGTAAGATGATGGCAAATGTAAGACATGATGGGTATGTAGAAGAAGAAGAAAAGGAGGAGATTGGATTTATACCCCGCCCTTCACTACCCAAATGAGTCTCAGAGCGGCTTACAAACTCCTTTCCCTTCCGTTCCCACAACAGACACCCTGTGAGGTAGGTGGGGCTGAGAGAGCTCTGACAGAAACTGCTCTTTTTCAAGGACAGCTCTTATCAGAACTACGGCTTGCCCAAGGTCATCCAGCAGGTGCAAGTGGAGGAATGGGGAATCAAACCCAGTTCTCCCAGATTAGAGTCCGTGCACTTAACCACTGCACCAAACTGGCTACAAACAGCATCATTTGCTGTGCAGACACACAATTGGATTGTGGTCATAGGGAATAATTTGTCAGTTTGGTAGATTCTGCACATTTTAAACATCTAAAATACATTTTCTTAATCTTAAATTGGTTCACAGAGAACAAGGTTTAATAAGGAGCATCAAAATAATTTACGATAAACTCAGAAAATCTGGTACAGAAATTAATTATCTAAAGAATAGCCTTATTGCACACTTGACTACGCACTCATATGTATCCAAGTGGGCACAGGCTATAATTTTTAAAATACGCTCAGTTGGCATTGACCTGGACATCTTGGAAAATCAAGATGAGACCTTTTTATACCAAACAATTTGCAGAAGGATTTGGGACATTGAAGCCCAAACAATCCTGGATGGTGCCGTGGGCACTTGTTCCCCCCTTTCCCTTGGCCTCAGATATGTACCAAACAGCATGGCACTATACTTCTCCAATTTGGTGATCCTGCTGCAACGCAGAGCCTTTATGCTAGCCAGATTTAATGTTTTTCCCTCATCTTGGGTCTCAGGCAGATACAGAGGTATCCCGAGAAATGTGGCAGAATTTGTAATTGCTCACTCACTACGCTGCCCCCTCCACTCACATTTCCGACTACTTCTGATTAAGCCTTTACTGTCCAGGATCAATTCTGATAATGCAATTAGGTTTCTCCTAGCTGATAAGTCACCATACGTTACTGCACAGATTGCTGATTTTTTTGGCTAAGATTTTGGTAGCGAGGAACTATTCTTAGCATTGGTGTTTTAAGACCTACAGCTGTAATTTTACCTTGACGAAGTTTTATCTTATTGATTTTATATGCCAATAAAGGTTCTGTTCTGTGCTGTACTCCCCTTTCCTTTCCCCACAAGAACTTAGTCTGAAGCAACTCTTCCAGCTAAATTAGGTTCCCAAATTCTGGAGGAACTGCAAGGCAGTTCTGTTTTGGTCAAGCTTTTGCTAGACAGAGGTAACCAAGTGTTAAGAACATAAGAGACGGCAATGTTGGATCAGGCCAAGGCCCATCCAGCCCAACACTCTGTGTCACACAGTGGCCAGAAATACCAGGTGCCATCAGGAGGTCCACCAGTGGGGCCAGGACATTAGAAGCCCTCCCACTGTTGACTTCCCCCCCAAGCACCAAGAAGACAGAGCATCACTTGCCCCGGAGTCCCTATCTATACCTTGTATTCATTCCATTGTTCTTTTCACACTGTGTATGATTACTTTTCTGTGGCAATTTCATATTTATATTACCTCCCCTCAAATGCCATGGGACGAGGAGGTGTCAGTCTAACAGCTATTGTAAGAGTCTCTCGTGCAGAATCTAAGACAAGTCATGTGACTTACAGATTCTCAAGTAAAAGCATGCAAGTGCCCCCCCATACTTATAGATATTCCCCACTCAGCAGCTCCTTACAACACTCCCTCGCCACATGCAGCCACTCCCCCAACACTGAAAAAGTACCTGGATAGTTGACACACCAACTGACAGTACTACAGAAATTGCCTGTTTTATGGTGGGCACTATTTGACCTGTGACTTTCCTTCCCATCATCTTTTTCAGTCTAACAGCTATTGTAAGAGTCTCTCGTGCAGAATCTAAGACAAGTCATGTGACTTCCAGATTCTCAAGTAAAAGCATGCAAGTGCCCCCCCATACTTATAGATATTCCCCACTCAGCAGCTCCTCACAACACTCCCTCGCCACATGCAGCCACTCCCCCAACACTGAAAAAGTATCTGGATAGTTGACACACCAACTGACAGTACAGAAATTGCCTGTTTTATGGTGGGCACTATTTGACCTGTGATTTTCCTTCCCATCATCTTTTGCACTGAAGTTCCAAAGCAATTCCAGGCTTTTCTCGTCAGAACTGATTTGAAGAAAATCTTCAAAAATGAAGGGCTGTATACTTCAGACATGCCCCATGGCCTTTGTTCATAAAGCCCTGATACTTTCCCCAGTAATTAGTTTGAGTCTGGTGGCCTTTGAGAGCATCTTCTAAAACGTTATATGTTTGCTTATTTCTCTAAATAGTGTCTTTATTGAAAAAGGGCAAGAAATGAAAAACCACACAGGTGCAATAATTGCAAAACTCCAGATACCTCCCGAGAGAAAGATCACTGCTTAGCCAGCCGCCGGAGCCGTTGCATCCAGTCACGGCTCCTGCAGTTTTCCAGTTGAGACTCTGAGTGCCGCTGTCGGCCAGCGCCGGCTCAGGATAGAAGTAAAGTCACTTCCAGCCACTTTTCCGTTGGTGCAATGCTTTCTGAATTACGCCGTGCAAACCTGGTAGAAGACCGATCAGAGGGACAACACAGCCTCCAACCCAAGGAAGAATCCTTCCCATTTGGGCAGCATCGGAGATTGATGCTTGTATCTGACAGCAACTTCTGCAGCCTGTAAAAAAAAAAACCCCCACTGGAGAACTGCATTCACGGGGAGAAAAGAAAGAATGCCAACAAAGAAGCTGAGGAAATGGATGGGAATCAAAGAGAGCTGGAGCAGCAAGCGGCAAGTACAGCTTTCCTTGTTAGTCTCTTTGTTCTGCCAGGCACTGTCTGAAGATGCTGGGTATTCTATTCCTGAGGAAATGGAGAAGGGCGCTCTGGTGGGGAACCTTGCCAAGGATTTGGGTCTGAACAAGAAAGACCTGGTGAATAGGAAGCTCCGTATCCTCTCTGCTGCTAATGCACAGTTCTTTACAGTGAATGGGGAACGTGGAGACCTCTACGTAAGAGACAGGATAGATCGGGAGGAAATTTGCGGAAAGCTTCCGCGCTGTGTCCTCAATTTTGAAATTGTGGTTGAAAACCCTTTGAACGTTTTCCATGTCAGTGTCGCCATAGAGGACATTAATGATAATGCACCCTGGTTTTTAAAAGACGATATCAAGCTAGAAATAAGTGAATCCAGCCTGCCCGGAGCCATCTTCGCTCTTGGAAATGCCGAAGATCCTGATGTTGGGATCAATTCTCTCCAGAATTACCAGCTGAGCCCCAATCAGTACTTCGCCTTGGATGTTAAAGAAAGTCCAGACAGAAATAAATATGCAATGTTGGTGCAAAGCAAACCACTGGATCGGGAAAGTGAACATAGTCTCCATTTGACCCTTACAGGCCTGGATGGGGGAGAGCCAATAAAAACTGGGACAGCCCATATATGGATAAATGTCACTGACAATAATGATAACCCACCAGTCTTTACTCAGGAAGTCTATAAAGCCAGCATAAAGGAGAGTGCACCCAAAGGATATTCAGTAATACAGGTCAAAGCCTCTGACAGAGATGAAGGTTCCAATGCAAAAATAAGTTACAGTTTCAGCAACATCCCAGCTAAAACCAGACAGAAGTTTAGCCTGGATGCAGAAAATGGGGTAATTACACTTAAGGAGACTTTGGACTTTGAAGAGTCAACAAGCTACATGATGCTAGTGGAAGCCAAGGATGGTGGTGGACTGCTGACCCATAGCAAGGTGGAGGTGGTGGTTCTTGATGAGAATGACAATGCTCCAGAGGTCGAGCTCATGTCCATCTTTAATCCCATCCCTGAAGACTCTCTGCCCGGCACTGTGATTGCTTTGATCAAAGTGGAGGATAGAGATGAAGGAGATAATGGGAAGACTGCCTGTTCTATAGAAGGGAATACACCTTTTCAGATGCTGTTATCAAATAACAATTACTACAAGCTCCTCACAGAGGGTGCCCTAGACAGAGAGAAAACCCCACACTACAACCTTACAATCACAGCCACTGACAAAGGCACACCACCCCTTTCCACACACAAGACAATCTCCCTGCAGATTTCAGACGTCAACGACAACTCCCCTGCCTTTGGAGAATCTTCCTACCATCTCTTTGTGCCAGAAAACAACCCTTCGGGGGCCTCCATTTACACTGTCAAAGCCTCAGACCCCGATTTGGACCGCAATTCAAGAATCACTTACTCCATCCTCACCAGCAATATCGAGGATCTGCCTCTGTCCTCTTACGTGTCCATTAACTCTGAGACTGGCACCCTCTATGCACAGCGTTCCTTTGACTACGAGCAGTTCCGTGAGTTCCACATTCAAGTGAAGGCCCAAGATGGCGGCTCCCCCCCTCTCAGCAGCAATGTCACAGTCTGGGTGTTTATTCTGGATCAGAACGATAACCGCCCTCGGATCCTGTATCCTCTGCCGAGAGATGATGATGACTCAGCTTTATTTGAAATGGTGCCTCGGTCTTCTGAGTCAGGCTATTTGGTAACCAAAGTGGTGGCCGTGGATGCTGACTCCGGACACAATGCTTGGATTTCCTATCACCAGCTTCAGGCGACGGATCCGGCTCTCTTCACCATTGGACTACACACTGGGGAAGTCAGGACAGCACGGGCCTTTGTGGAAACAGATGCTGTAAAGCAAAAGCTCGCCATTTTAGTGAAGGATAATGGAAGCCCTCCTCTTTCTGCCACCGTCACTTTGAACCTGGTGTTTGCAGAGAGCTTCCAAGAGGCGCTTCCAGAAATGAGCAAGCCACCCAGTGACTCAGCGTCCCAGTCTGATATGAACACCATTTTGGTGACCACCATCATTTTAGTCTCGTGCTTATTTCTTTTTACAGCCCTAACGGTTTTGATTCTGAAATGCCGAAGACAAAGAAGCCCAGCTGTGCTTGGGTCCTACAATCCAGAACTGTATGCTAGTTTAGGCCACAAGTTTTCCTGCAATTACAGCCAGGGGACATTAGCATTGCCCTGTTCATATGAAGTATGCCTGGCCTCCCAGTCTGGGCACAAGGAGTTTGCCTTTCTGAAACCAGACCCGGGGGCTGTCACGGACAGTCTCATTACAACGGAAGATTCTGGAATTGGGAATGAATCTGAATGTCTGGGAGACAATCTCGGCTCCAGTACCAGCATACAGGTGAGAATCATCCAGGGGTGTCTCTCGCAAAGCCTGCTTAGCTTTGCCTGTGCATTTCAGTCCAGAGAATCCAGGCTGTACAAATCAGTGCCATATATCCCTTTTTCATTACGCTTGTTTAGAATGAAGGACAAGGAAACGGCAGTGCCCACACCGTATCTACATGTTAATACTGCTAATATAATGTGTAACTTTTTGAAGCTCGCTATTAGTGTTCCCTCTAAGCTGAGTTAGCGTGAGCTAGCTCACAGTTTTTTAGCTTCCGGCTCACACATTTTTGTCTTAGCTCAGGAAGGATGGCCCCAGAGCAATGCTCCCTCTAAGCTCTGGAGTCTTGTGAGCAAAAATTCTACTTTGTGAGCTCCTGGCATTAAAGCTGTGAGTGAGCTATTTGGATACCGCATAAATGAGTTTGCTCTGGAGCCATCCTTCCTAAGACAAAAATCTGTGAGCTGGAGGCCGAAAAGCTCACACTAACTCAGCTTAGAGGGAACACTGCTCACTACTAATATAAATGCAAGCCAGTGTTTTGGGCAGAGAAATATTACCACCTATATTCATTTTCTGCATCTAAAAAGTATGGATAGTTGAGTGCCAGAAAGTAGTATGGTGAGTTCTGGATGGTATCTTGGAAGCCTAAACTTTGCTTTGTATGAACAAAATTTGGGTCCAAGAAAGCGTTTAACTCTGTTTGTGTTTCTCAGGATTTATAGGACATCCTTTCTATTAGAATTAGGGATTAGTTGGGCTATGTCTGCCCTCTACTGGTGAGATGTTATACTACAGGCCTATATTGCACCGGATTCCATCTCAATAAATAATGTTATCTGTATAGATTTTGCAAACAGTTTCATAATATTCAGCTAGTGTAGCAAAATCAGTATATGGGTTGATTAGATAGGTCAATATCTTATATACTGTGGTGTGTGTATGTCTGTGCATGTGTGCGCATTTCCATGGCACGGTTAAGGCTCATTGATTTTAATGGGAGATATAAACTGATGTCTTGTTGTGTATGTGGATGATCCAAAATTAGTGTTTCGTTCAAACAGGCAGTAAGCTACATGTGGATTTGTCATTTAAGTGCAAAAGTCGCTTATAAAAAGTTCAAGGAATTTCAGCATGTGCCATGAATCAAACCCATGAGACACCAACCTGTGGGTTCACCTCGATTTCTTAACGGCGGATCTACATCTTCAGACTTTATCCTAACTTTTTAGAGCTGGCTAGTTTGACTGATGTGCATCGTGGTTAGCTTTGGGCAATTCCACCTAGGATCCAAACTTTGCATTATCACCAGCTGTGTTTTTCCTAAAAATTGTGCGGAGAAATTCTAAATCTCCATCCTCCTCTAAGGAGATATGGGCTTGGTTGATGGTGCCCAGTGCCCAGTAACCCTTTTGGAGCAGACTTTCAAACACCTCCTATCGCAGGGGTCCCCAAACGTTTTGAGCCTGCAGGCACCTTTGCAATTCTGACATACCGTGGTGGTCACATCCACAAAATGGCTGCTGCAGGAGGCAAAGCCAGCCACGAAATGCCAGCCACAGCCAGGGCCGGCCTGAGGTTTTTTGTGCCCTAGGCGGGGCTACCTTCTGGCGCCCCCCCCGTGCACCCAATTACCTGGTTGCCAACCTCCAGGCGGGGCCTGGAGAGAAGGAAGAAGGGGGAGGGCAAGCGCGGCCAGTGAATGCTAGAGCGTCCCACCCCCCGCAATGTGCCCAGTGCAATGACGTCACCTTCAGGTGACGTTATCACGCCGGGCAGATCGCCGCAATCCCAGCACTTTGGGGGGTGGGGTCGGGTGGGGTCCCCCCCAGCAGCCCGGTCCAGGCCAACAGGTAAGGGGCCCATCATGCGGGCAAACCCCTGCCCTCCCGCGGGGACCCGGTAACCCTAGGAAAGGGACTGAAAATAAAATTGCCGATATTGTAATGCCCCTGTATAGATCCATGGTGAAGCCTCATTTGGAACAGTGTACATAGTTTGGGTTGCCATTATCTCCAAAAAGGACATTGCAGAGCTGGGAAATGCGCAGAAGAGGGCAAACAAGATGGTTAAGTTCTGTGAGGAAAAACTGAGAGTATGGGACTTTTCAGTTCAGAAAAAGGCAACTGTGGGATGAGAAGTATATAAAATTATGCATGGGGTAGAGAAAGTATTCTCTTGTAATACTAGAACTTGAGGGCACCCAATGAAGTTGATGGGCAGGTGTGGCCTATTATGCTAATGAGTTCCTGCTGGACTTTTTCTACAAAAAAAGCCCTGGCCACAAGCATTGATGGGAGAGAGATCTAGGAATGGCTAGCAGCTAGGGAATTTCAATATAAAGAGGCAGGAAATCTCTGAATATCAGTACTAGGAGAAGGCAATACCAGGGGAAGACCTTGGCTTCTATACCTTACTTGCTGGCCCCCCCATGGGCAACTGGTTATCTGGTGAGATGGGATGTTGGACTAGATGGACAACTGGCCTGATTCAGGAGAAGTCTTGCTGTGTTCCTATGGCTTTTATCCTTTCCTATACTTCGCTGCACAAAGTTGCAGCCATGTCTTTTTAAAAAATATTACGTATGTCTCGGGTTGACAGCTCTGGGTTGGGAAATACCTGGAGATTTGGAGGGTGGAGCCTGGAAATGGTGGGTTTGGAGGGGAGAGACCCCAGCAGGGTACAAGGCCATAGAGTCCCTCCTCCAAAGGAGCCATTTTCTCCAGGGCAATTGAATTCTGTGGTCTGGAGATGAGCGGCAAGAGTAGGAGATCCCCAGGCCCTACCTGAAGTTTTGCAGCCCTATGCAGGGCTTTTTTTGTAGAAAAAGCCCAGCAGGAACTCATTAACATAATAGGCCACACCCAATGGTTAAAACTCATTAGCATATTAGGCCACACCCCAATGCCTTCCCTTGGCTTACCTGGGTGCCCCACAGCTGCTGGGAGCCCGGGCAAGCCAGCCCTCTGACAGGCCGGGGAAGACACAGGGAGGCATTTAAATGCCTCCCCGATCCTTCCAGGCCCCCCCCCCCCGATCCCCCGCCCCAAAATTTGCGGGGTGGGGGGGGTAACTCTCCAGGCCTTCCTTCTGTAGCCATGCACACAGAGGTTTTGGCTGTAGTGGGCGTGGCCAACTCTGAAGCCAGCCGGAACTCTGTTCCTGTGCGTTCCTGCCCAAAAATAGCCCTGGCCCTATGTATTTTATTTATATGAAGCCATGGAAACGGTAAAGAGGCAAAAGAATCATTTGAAGCCACTAACTGTGCTACTTCCTGCTGCTTTTCTTCAGTCATCTGTAAGCTAGAAAAATGGTCGGAGGGACGGAGCAACTACCCCAAAAATGTAACATTCTGTTAGGCAAATACGATGCCTCTAATCAGAAACTAAGTATTTTAATTACTAGCTGAGCATACAGTTGGGATAAATTAAAATCAATGGGAGCTTTGTTGGTGGGATTCGTGGGAGCTATACTAGAAGGGGGGGACTACAGATAGAGTTACCAACCTCCAGGGGATGGCTGGAGATCTCCTGAGATTATAAGTGATCTCCAGGTAACAGCGATCGAGATTATAAGTGAGCTCCAGGTAACAGCGATCAGTTCACCTGGAGAAAATGGCCAGTTTGGAGGGTGGATTCTATCACATTCTACCCCATTGAAGTCCCTCCCCTCCCCAAACCCCACCCTCCTCAGGCTCCACCCCTAAAATCTCCAGGTATTTCTCAACCTGGAGATGGCAACCCTAGTTTCCGCACAGCATTGTGCTACATTTAAGCACCTCTGGGGGGTTCCCTGGCTTTTCTTTAATCTTTCGGGAAACTGCTATGATGGACTCCCTGTTACTCTCCCCACTCTGAGGCAGATTTCTCCCACCAAAGTTCTTAGTTCCCCTCTGGTACTGAACTGACCCCCTAACAGAGCGATAATATTTGTGGCTTTATAAATTTGAATGTCCCGCCCTGTGACAGAATCTAATTTGGCTTTTGCCAGCCCAGGAACTTGTCGGGAGAAAATAGGAGCCCTCTTTGTAGCTCTGTTGAAATGGCCCTGGAGACTGTGCAGCAGTGAACAATAGTAAAGATTTGATTTAGTAGGCAGGGATAGTATGGGTAGTCAGGTATTGGAAAGGCTGAGGTAAACGTGTTTGGTAAAACAGTGTATTTTTCAGTTGACAGACAAGATGGTGTTGTGGCACCTCATTTTCACAAATTCTTGGTTCTTATCAGTGAGGAGGAGGAGAGGAGATTGGATTTATACCCCGCCCTTCACTACCCAAAGGTGTCTCAGAGCGGCTTACAAACTCCTTTCCCTTCCCCTCCCCACAACAAACACCCTGTGAGGTAGGTGGGGCTGAGAGAGCTCTGACAGAAACTGCTCTTTTTCAAGAACAGCTCTTATCAGAGCTATGGCGTGCCCAAGGTCATCCAGCCAGGTGCAAGTGGAGGAGTGGGGGAATCAAACCCGGCTCTCCCAGATTAGAGTCCGCGCACTTAACCACTACACCAGACTGGGTCTCAGTGAGAGATGGTTAGCTGAGTACTTAAGTTTCAGTTAAAGTGTTTCTGCATCTATTAACTGTTCAGGTTTTCTGGAAAGGTCACTCTTTTTTGTGGATCAGATTCTTTCCCTTTTTCTAAGCTCACAATGTGTCTTCTTTCCCCTGAGTAGTCTATAACCGTCTCCTTTCACAACAGACCAGGGACTGCCTCAGTGCCAATTCCCTGTATAACTGGACAGGACGACTTCTATTTCTTCCCTGAAAGTATAATCCTGTTCCTTTTTGGCCTGATTGGGAGCTTCAGCCTGCTACCCAGCCGCTCTTTGCCAAAATCTCAAACCCCAGTCTGTGTGAAAATGTACTTCAGCTATAGCCGACACTAGACCCTGAATTCTTATGTGGAACTCTTTCTCGGGTTATGTTTAAAACAGCTAAGACCAGGAGTCTCTCCCTTGATTCAAAAGGTGAACCTGTCTGATAGACTTTTGGTCAGACTCTTCAGACATCGTCTCCT